CCCTAAACCCTAAGCCCTAAAGGCCACAATGTCAGTGTCGCCTCCCCGGAGCAGCCTTAGTTCTGGATGGGTAGTTCTCGCAAACTTAAACCCCCTTTTTTAGTACCAAAATAGTACGGCACCCTCGAAAGGACCCCCCAAAAAGGGACCCTAATGAAGAGAACCACCCATAGGTAGTAGCTTTTCAGTTCTAAATGCTGCTAACCGCGAAAGCCGAAACTCCATCCGCATGCTCGACGGAGGTCCCCAGCGCAAGCGCTTCGCCAAGTTCGGAGGCAACTGCAGCCCTGGGACTTCGGACATCTTGAGAAGTTCTCGCGGTTGAGGCTTCAGTTCACTCAGGTCAGGACGGTCAAGACATGTATGTGCTCAGCTCTCATTTTTGATTGCCTGCGCTGGATGTTCGTGTTCTTCGGAATTCAGCATGTCCCCGTTACGGTGCTGCGAAGAGCTGACAGGCGCTGAGGTTTGCCTCGCTGACATAGTCAATTGTCCATTCTTGAGAAGATGGGTATTTCACACAAGAAGAAGCAAGACTTGCCAAAAGAAGAGTTCCGGTCTGTCATAGCTTTTGCTGGTGAGGCGTCTTGTTCTTCGATGGTTGCTATGGAGCACTGGTGCAGCAGAGTTGTACCTCTGCTCGTGATGAGAACCGGCTCGAGCCTTTGCAAGGCTTAAACTTCGGAGTTTGACCATCCGCCATGGGCTCATCACAGGGCAGTGCCCAGAGCAGTGCCACTTCGCAGGGTGCCGACGATGGCATGGCCTCCTGCAACACAGGAGTGCACCACTGCTCCTTTCCTATGTATGTGGTCAAGGTGTCGGACTTTCTGGACATGGAGGGTGTTCCTGAACCACACCAGGTATTGCGGCGGAAGGGTTTACTTCACGAATGGCAGCCATCCATGTTCGTCATCTTCGTATCGCACCAGTGGTTGGGCACGGGGTCTCCAGACCCGTCTGGGCAGCAGATGACGGTGTTGCGGCATGCTCTACAGTCGTGGATAGACGGATCTATGACGGTGGAAGTAGATCTGATGCGCACCTTCGGAGATCAAAGAAGTTTCACGACGAGCTATGAGCGCGTGGCTACTGCATATCTTTTCCTAGACTGGTTTGCAATTCCGCAGCTTACCATAAGAGACGATGGGGTAAATGACGATGCCACAAAGTCAGACACAGCTCGCGCGGTTCAGAGCATTCCAGCATATGTAGAGTCTTGCGACATGTTCGTGGCGCTCGTCCCCGACCTTGTTCACAGTGATACCGGGCTGCAATGCAACTACAGCAGTTGGCTTTCTCGAGGCTCGCGGACCCTTCTATGTTTCTACTGTTCTTATGCTGAACGTTATGTTGGTGTTGGTAGATGGCGTGGGGAAGCCATGAAAGTAAATTATCGCAAAAATGCGAAGTAGACGGGGGGTGGGGGTGGGAGGCGAAGAACAAGAAGAACTAGACTTGGTGGGACAGAAAGACGGAACAATCACGGGTTGAAGAATGCAAGACATGTCTTTGTCATGGTTGGGTAACATCTTACACTTTTCACGGTACTTAAGTTCAATAACCGTACAATCTTTAATATTATCCGCAGCCATGAGCTAGATGTATTGAGAGTAAATATGAGTAATCATGGAGGAAAGGAGAATGACCTTTGGACATCAGTGGTCGATTTTTGTCAAAGCTTTGGTGCTTCAGGGTTGTATGGTGTCTCGATGGCAATGCAATGTGTGTTTTGTCTCTCCCCTCCAGGCTGGTGCCGAGCGGAGCTATGGTGTCGCCTGTTTTCGAACCGAGAGGACACCAGGGTGGTTCTCATATTTTCCGACAGAGAGGCACTCTACATTATGCCTATGGACTGGCAAAGAAGCTTGATCGCGGATGGCTTGTTCACTGTGGAAAGCGACCGCACTGTGGTCATGAAGCTTGGGGAGAGGGCGTTGAGAAGCAAGATCGAGCAGTTGGATCGATGGGGGCCCTTGACGGACTACCGCTTCCATTTGGCGCAGGAGCCCAGATTGCTCGGCCAACAGCAGGGGGGCTTTAGCCTTCAGGGCTTCTTGCGACACTTCAGTTTTCC